TATATATATATATATAGTCCCTAAACAGTTGAGAATCTTTCTTAAAATAAAATGTACGTCCACCAAACCAAAGTTTGGATTGAAATGAAACCATGCCCCGAGGGCAAGAGTTTTTATATGGAATGAAATTACGGAGTCAACATTTGTGATGAATATATAAGAAGATACCAAGCCATTATGATTGTGTTTGTTTTGTCTATATAATAGCGTCATCCAGTAGGAGTGATTTCTATTAATTACTATTTTGTCCGGATTATTAGTTCTTTTCACTGGTTCACACTAATACAGCTGTTTTTCCATCATTTACCTCTGGAAGTTGCATTTCATTGACATTTCCATCGTACATAAATATAGAGAGTACGGAAATTTGCAAAAGTATAGCAAAACTTTATGGTAGCATTGATTCTTATCTCTATCATCAGTGATCGATCACCATAAACAGGCATTAAGAACTGTTGTATAATCCAGCTCTTATTGTGGTACTGATAGCTAGATCTTGTAACCATTAAGACACATATATTATCATGTCTTCATTTTTACCTAATATAATAATAGTAGCTATCTTTTCCATACCTAAAACTGCACTAATTAAAGTTTATCATAAACAGTTTGCAAACCACGTTAACAAAAATACCTGACAGTTCCTTTCTATTAAAAGTAACCGACCAAATTTCCATATTTGTCAGAAACCTTCAACATTGAATCACGATTCATCAGTTTCAAAGTGGTATATAAAGATTTTTCTCCCTTCATTCTTCTGTTTTCACTGCCTAATCTGATTCAGAATTTGTCTATTCAATACCGGAAGTATATAGTTATAGCCAGATCAAGTTGCTCGAGTCGTCGAGGATTGATCAATTAATATAAATATATTGACTAATAACCTTAATTTGTACGAGTTCAATATTTGGAACGAAGCTGGACACCCCGGTTTTTCTCTGTAACTTACACTCACTTCTCGTTGCGGATAGATGAAATAATTGAAATCAGGGGAAACTCGCTCCAAAATTTGTGCATAAAATCCAGCCATATTATATGAATTATATTGGAATATCTCTTGTATTCTTAATACAACTTTTTTCTTGACCTATAAGAAAATCCATTGGGGAAAAATCATCATCTATCTTATGTCATTGGCAATGGTAGCGGAAGGTATTAGCAAAGTTAAAGTATCTGTACGGTGAATTATCAAAAAAGAATCTAGCTATACTTCGATGAAATGTTTGGTTTGGAAAAAAAGAAAGTGGAAGGAAGAAAATAAATAAAAGGTGACATGATATTTTAGGTTGTTTGGTAGAAAAAAGAATTCTTTTCTCTTGTTTGATTGTGTGGAAAGAAAAGAAAAGAAATTAAAAATATGCATATAAAAGAACACAAATATCCTTAAAAAAAAGTTTGATATAATTAAGGATATTTTTATCTTTTGCAGAAAAAATATGCTTCATTCTCTATCTCATTTTCCTTTGAAATCAAACAAATCATAAAAGCAGATGTGTCAATACATTTTATCTTATGTCAGGTCGTTTCTGTCATGAAATTAGCATCCATTATTTTCTGTTCTTAGTACACATGTACAATTCATTGTCGTATATTAAATACATTAACAAATATATGCTGAGTTCATGAATGAATTGAAATAGCTTTGCTCAACTAATGGAAAAGGAATAACTAAAAAGTAATGATTGTAGATATAATAACTTCTCGTTTCTGAAAATTTATGTAAAGGGACAAAGTTTTTGCATTGATTCATATATGCAAAGAGTCGATCTATCTTCTATTACACAAGGTTATAATCTCCAGTTGAAACTTTAAAACAAACAATTATATTGGCTCGTTCACTCTTTTGTTCTATTGCAATTCTAAATTGTAAACAAAAAGCGTTACAATTAATCATATGAGAATATATGATTGCATTTATTAATGGCAGATCAAAGAGATAATCTGAGCTCTAAATCTAGTTCTTGAGTGTCACTTGATTCGGAGTTCTGACTGCTTGAGCTCACAGAACCATTCCTATGCTTCTTGGTATCTATGTCTTGCGAGTCCTAATCATGCATGGAGGGGAAATGAAAAACATAATAAGATCATTTGGGTCCAAATACATATTTTCTGCATGGAATATCAAACGAGCTTCATGAAATTTTTAAAAAATTCCTTACATTTAGGTTTAGAAAAGGTCGAGTTATGTTGGATGGAGAAGAATACTGGCTCTCCAAGATGACTTTGGCAGTTTCCCATCTTGTTTAAGAAAAAGCATTTCACATATCAGCGATAATTCATGATAACAATAAACATGAGAATGAAAAAATATTCATCTTTTTATTCTATAGACACGCTTCTTTTGCTTTCATCAATGGCAAGGATCGATGTCTGGAAAAATAAAGTACCTTGCTATATTAGTTTGCTGAGAATCTCCATATTTGATGTTTGTTTTTTGATATTCGGATAGGCTCATCTGCACTAGCAAACAATTATTGTCAAAATTGCAGGACTCTACTATCTGACTCTCTTTAATTCCATGTATTAGTATATTGATCCTTGAACATGCATCTTTTGAAAAAAGATTTGAAAAAATAAAAGAAAAATGAAAAAAGAAACTGTTGTGCTATCTTGCAATAAGTTGCAACAAATAGATGTGAAGAATTAAGAAGACGAATAATATCGAAGATCATTTCAAACACATTATATAATGATTTTAGTCTTTATTTAGCTACCAGAACTCAAAGATTTATCCCTCATCTGCTAGGGTTAGTACTGGTAAGTTGTATTGCCCTTGATAAAGTAGTACAATGTACTTCGATTCAAACTGAACCATATATAGAGAGGAGTAGTTCAGAATTAAAATATTATTTTGCCAAGTTTATCTATCACATGGGTTATATATTATATGTATCACATGAAAAATCTACAAGGTACAGAAAAATAACCACATATCTTGATTATTGCTTCGCGTGCGGTGCAGTTATATACTACGCACTTTCATAGATTGACTTTTCAGTTTTCAGTAATAGTTATTTACTAGTAAGGGGTGAAAAATATGTGCGGAGCATGTCATGCACTCATCATAAAGAATGAAAGTTAATTAGTAAAATTATATATATCATTTAAGTGAAAGTATAAAATCAATTGGTATTTAAGAAGAGCCAAAATTACACCTACCATGATGTTGGGTTGGAAGCCATAGGAAGCTGCTGCATATGATGATGTAGAAGAAGATGATGGCACTGATGAATAAGCTATTTGCACTCTTGGATCTTCCTGAATGAGGAGCAAAACACCATTGAATTTAACAAATTCAAGAAAAAGAATTCGATCTTATATATAGTAAGAATATAAGATTTTCGTGTAATTCAATCTTACAAAACTAATAATATAAAGTAATTTTATTTTAATTATGCATAACATGAAATCTCTAACAAAATATATATTAGTAAAATGAATGAAAAAAGAGAATAGAGAGGTTTTACGTTGTTGAAATTAGATGGGTGCAGAGAAGGGTGGTAGGTCATTTGACCATGTAATCTGATTTTCTCCAATTGAGCAACTCCAAGTCCTCTCTGTGGTTGCTTTGGCTTGTCTGAGTTGTTGTTCTTCTTCCCTTTTCTTGACGAAGAAGAAGTTGCTTTTTCATTTCCAAAGATTGGTTCTCCAAAGTAAGTGCTACCCATGAGAGAGAGATCAGAGAGGGAGGGTTGGAATGAAGATAAGTTTGTGGTTGATGATGGGAAAAGAGAGATCTGAAATGGTGCTTTTAAACTGGAGGAAGTATGAGTATTGCATCGCTGGATGAGATTATATACGCCTAAATCTTCTCCTATCCTCTTGGCTCAAGATATTCTTCTTTTTCTGACAACTCTAATTTCATTAGTATATTAATAATCATTACATCATTTAATTATTAATTCTTCTATATAGACTTGGAGACTATTTCTGGAAGCGATTGTCTCCCATTCAATATGTTAAATAATGTGTTGCCACGCGCCATAAGGTAGAGGCTGCACTCGCACGCTGTAGATATAAATATATATTCATATTTAGCAACACGTACTGTGGGAGAATGACAACCGAGAGAAGTTAATCTTCGATATGTAGATCTGTCCATACTTTTCAATTATTGATTGTATATGCAGTTGCGTATGATCTTTGTTTAACAATCCATGTAACTGGTATTGAAAGTTCAAATAGAATTATAAAGTGATTATAAGAGTTAAAAGGAAAAAATGTCTAAAAATTCGAGACTAGATGACTATATCTTCTTTATTACCAAGAATATTAACTATAAGAATTAATGTATAGGATATAGACATATATAAAGGAGAGAAGTTATTAATGTTTGTAAATGTCACTAAATATTACCTATAAGAATATATAACTATCACTAGTGAAAAATTAGTATATTACGTTACTTCTTTAACGTCGGACACACTAAAATACGACGTAAAAAAGACGCGGTAGTATTTTTATAATTTTCGTGAACTTTTTTACGTCAGACCTGGTAAAGTCCGATATAAAATGTAAAATTTACGTCGGATGAATGTTGTGTCCAACATAGATTTTACATTTTACGTCAGACCCTACCAAGTCCGACGTAATAAAAGAAGCACGAAAGTCTATTTAGAGTACCACTTCTGCACACAAACACTTCATCTCGCTCGCGGAGTCACTCACTCGAAAATGAAAGCACCAAAGGAGTGGTGGAGTGGCGGTGGCGATGGACTCACTCACTTGAAAATGTGGTGGCTGTATCGCTCGCAGACTTCACCCCCAACCACCCGCTTGGATCTCACCTTTAGGGTTTTTCCTGAAAATCTATGTGCCTTTTTTCTTTCTTGTTTCTGAATTAATGCAAGCTCTATGTGCCTTTCTTCTTTCTTGTTTGGGTTTATTGCATCTAGAACCGTTGTGCAGGTCAAACTGGGCATGCTTTATTGCATCTGGAACGACCTGTTCTGCAACCAGAACGGCTCGTTCCTCTTGCAATCTTTGTGTGTAAATTGTCCATCTGGAACGGGCCGTTCTGGTTTAGAATGGGTCGTTCCAAATAGACAATAAATACACAAACGACTGCAAGAGAAACGGGTCGTTCTGGTTGTAGAACGGGCCGTTCCAGATGTGTGTCATCACAATTTTACGTCGGTTCTTGGGAATCTCCGACGTAAATTTATGTCGATCATCACGCCTGACGTAAATTTACGTCTCCCGCTTTAATGTTGGAGTTTTTTGCTAAAAACCCTAAAATAATTGACGTAGAATACACATTATGTACTAGTGTACACAGTGATATAATCTTAAAAAAAATAATATGATTTTTTGTTATACATAAAATATGTTTGAAAAAGTTGTGAAAATTATATTATTTCAATAGTGATTATTGCTGTAATTAATTACAATTGGAATAAATTTATATTTAGGTAAATTTATTGAAAAATGATTTTAAAATATTTAATTTTGTTTTAAAACTAAAAAAATAATTTTTATGTAATAACTCAATTATCGAAGAAAAAAACTCAAAAATAATTTAAAAAATTTTAAATTTTCAGATTAAAAAAACATTTTTTTTTAGATGTTTCAAACATCCAACTTCTTCTTCTTCTTTTTTTTTTTTTGCAAACAGTTTTTCTTTCTTTCAAAACAACTGAAATATTTTCGAGACATGCTCTAACTATAATGTTGTGTTATATAAGATTATATACAACACAACATTTTTTTTTGTCGTATACTAAACGGGGTGACTTTGAGTGTGATTGGTAAGTTAATATCAAATTATCTAGTCATTGCATTAATAAAATTTAATATATAAAAATAGTTATTCAATTGTGTACTGTGTTATAAATGTTTAATAAAATTATTTGTTGAAGTAACTCGTAAACCTAAAATGATAGAATAAAAGACTTGAGAACTAAGTTGTTACTTGAAGTCTCATAAAATGCTATAAGATATAGAAGAAGAAAAAATTATCAAATACTACTAATATAATATGATTTACTAAACTTTTCTCAACAAACAGAAAAGGTCATAGAAATTAACTGAAAATGTTTATCAAACTCTAAGCGAGAAATATTAGTTATTATAATAAATGAGAATATTTGTAATTAAAGATGTAAGATTTTTAAAATATCATGTTGGATTTATAACTAAATATATAATCTAAATACTTAATTTTAATCTAAATGTTAAATGTTCTTATTTATTTTACAATGCCTAGAATTTCTCACTTGATATGTTCCTTTACGTACACTTGCATCTTACATTTATTCTTAAATAATTAGTAATATATAAAATAATGTAATCTTCATTAATCTAATTCATTACTACTAGAAAATTGTTATATAGTAACATGTACTTTATAGTGATACAAAAATTATCACTAAAAATTATTTTTATCTATACAATAAATACAATATATGTTGGTGTATTATTAAAGAGTGTAAGTATAAGCTATAGTGACACACAAAATATGTCAAATAATGTTATACCTACATATATTATATTTATAATGACATTTTTTATAAGTAACTGTATGTAACATTTATTGTAATGATGGTTAAGTATAGGATTTTAATTATCACCAATCAAAATTGTTTTTGAGATTTTATTTTATTTAAAAAAGAATCACTACAACACAAATGGTATTTAGCAACATTTGAAAAATGTTAATTATGCTAATTTGTTTTAGCAACATATTATCAAATGTTGTATATAGTCCATGTTGCTAAAGACTTTTAATAACATTTTTGCATAATTAGGTAACATTTTTTAAATGTTACCAAAGTAGTATTTTTGTAACATTTTAATAATTTTTTGTAACATTTTAATGATGTTACCAATATTTTGTTAATCTTATAAAATAAAAATTAATTTTAATTTAAATATTACTATCAATTATTATATTTTTTATGTTTCCTAAACTTCTAAGAGTTCTTTAAGTTTTTATGGAAATACATTTTTAGTTAGTCATCACTAATTATATATAGAATATCAAATTTTATTTATCTTAAATATAACTATATGAGTATATATACTCTTTATAAGTCATTAATTTATTCGATATGAGACTTTAATTATGAGTTACAATTAGATATAAGAGAAATATATTTTTTTTGACTCGATGTGGGACTTTGATTTTAGAAGCAATTATAGTAACATTTTTCAAAAAAATGTTGCAAAATAACTTATGTAAATTTTTTTTACTCGATATGGGACTTTGATTTTAAAAACAATTAGAAAGAATAATATTGAAATAAAAAATGTTACTCTATCTATAATGACATTTTTCAAAAAAGTGTTACAAAATAATATTTATTTAATATATAGTAACATTTTAATAAATGTAAACAAGAAAATGTTGCTAAAAGATTAAAATCTAGCAGTGAATGATAGCTTCCGAATCTATCTATCTGCACCTATCACTCTTGATTCAAAGTAATTTAATTAACAACTCGTATTTTCTTATACTTTCTTTCTTCTTTTAATCTTATTTTTTATTTTGCCCTTTATCTTTATACTCTAGTCCCATTTCACACCCTTTTTAAGGATATAAAAAATTGATTAATTTTATCTGATTATTGGCTATATGATAATTTCTTGAGGTACTTTATATATGATTATTTTAATTACACTAATTGAATCGAAGTAGACAAAGCTTCAAGTGGGTTCCACTTGGCAAGTGGTTTCCAAGTTTAATTACGGTCAATTTGTCTCGGCTGACAATACACTAAACTGAGAAGTCACAGCTGTAAATTCCATAAGCAGCCAATTATAACAAAGAAAAAAGTTAAATAAATGTAGTGACACATAATTTAAAACACTAATAGCTCATAATATTAATTTACAGACCAAATATGGTGTTTAAGTTGAATCACATATTCATTTCTTTATTGTAGTTTCAAATCTGTTTTGTTATACCCTCTTACAAGCTTTTTTAAAAAACTATACATAATTCCTTTTAATTTACAGGAAAAAAAAACTAAATACTATAGTATTTTTTTATGGAGCTTCGATTCACAAGTTTATGTTCTTCGTAGATCTAGAAGTAGTAAATATGATTTTGCTTAATATATAAAAAGGGATTGGCCTAGAGATTGTGATAATTCAAACTATAATAATAATAATACTAATAATAATAATAATAATGATAATAATAAATGTGGTTATAGTTAAGTGGTGAGAGACCAAATCTAAATGAGCTGTTTCACGCATGATTTGTGGGTCATATATATTTTATGAGTTGTTTGTGTGGTGGAAAGTGAGAATACTCCAATTTGTTAGCCAGACATGTGAACCCATTCAAATTACAAGAAACCCCACTAATCTCCACCAATATGTCATTACTTCCTTAAGCAGAAAACAGACCGTAACGTATAAAGTATTTCAGTTAAAAAGAATATACTATAATTTACACAAAATATATACTGAGATTTTACATTATCACTAATCATTGCGTTTTCTTTTAGTATTTATAAAATGGTTAAAATTTGTTTAATCGATCATAAATATTATTAAAAATATTTAGACATGTACTTTCTTATCAAATATTTTTATGTTTAATTTGAATAAAACTTTCCTATAAACTTTAATTATTTATCACATTATATAAGATAATAAAATATAATATTTTTACCATAGTAAAACTTTTCTTTAACTATTTTTTTTTTAGAATTTTACCTTCTCATAAAAACAATTTCATGAAAACATGTAAGTTAAAAAGTTCATAAATATTATTTTTTTAATAATTTTATTTTAAATAATATTTTTAATATGAAAAACTAATACTCTCGCCTTCAAGAATTTAATTTTTTTCATATACCAAATGTATCCTTGTCATGTGTGTTTAATTTTT